TTCAAAAAGACTCGGCCGCGTTATAATTTTCGTGTCCAATTTTCAGAAGGACATGCCTTCATATAAAAGTCTAAAAAATTTTATAAAATTATAAAATTAACTCTTTGCTGTTACAATAAGATAATGTAATTGTAACATATTTAATCTGTAGATTTTTTTAGATTCATTTTGATTAAAATTAATTGTAACTAAAATTTATTACAAGGGGGGCAGTAAAATTTTTATAGGAAAATTTTCTTACGTATTGGTTACGGTTTTTTATTGTTTCTTAGTTTCGTGTAATTTTTTTTGGGTATTTTTTTAGATTGGTTTATTTTTTTGAGATAAATTCCAGTAAACAAGATGGTTAGTGAAGTTCAAGTTTGAATATTAGATTTAGGATTTATTGCAAATAGATGTAGTTCCATCCGATGTTCACCTATTAGTAGAATCATTTTTCTTGTTGCATAAATATTGTTTTTCTCTAGAAAACTTGTACTTATTTTATACCATATGGAAAGAAAGGTGATTAGGAAACCTGGAGTTAGTCCAGAATTATTTCCGTTGCCTGTGATGGTTCATGTGTTTTTAAATATATTTTCTATTCATAGTTACTGATACTTTTTATATTTTTTTACTGCTTCTGGTACCAATTACATGAAATTGATAAAATCCAATTAGGAATTTTAAGTAGTATCTTCTAGATGTCTGGAAACCTAACACCAAATATTTTAACTGAATGCTATGGATAATTTTGTAGATGTTCTAAATTATAAGCCAAGTCGGTTATTGGGCTGATTTGGTCCTTGGTAACCAAAACAACCTTAGAAGTTTTCTTCTGGTATCTTCTTCAGCATATTGCCTCATTGTTTAACCTCAGAAAATATTTTACATTGGGAGACTTTTTGCCTAATCTGTTGTAATACTGACTTATAAGCAACTTTAGAAATCTGCTTCTGATATCTCATAAAATTTGGTGATTTTTTAGCAGTAGAAAGCCACTAGAAACTTTCTTAGATTAGTATCCGACATCAACCTCTGATTAGTTAGAATCTTATTTATCAGGTTTCATTATCCCTTTTTATTAGAAG